AGTGAAGCCATTAGGTCCGGGGGTTTTTCTTTGTGGAGAGATTTTTTATTACTGAGTCAGTCTCTTCAGTAATTAATAGGTCTATTCGTGTTTTCTGTTTCTTCACTGTTTAGTCATGGTAGGTTTTGTGTCTCGGAATTTGTCCATTTCATGTAGATTATCCAAGCATACAGTTGATCATAGTATTCTCTTTATAATCTTTTGCATTTCTGTGGAATTGATAATAGTGTCCTCACTTTAATTTCTGATTTCAGTAATTTGAGTCTTCTCTCTCTCTTTTCCTTAGTCCATCTAATTGAAGGTTTGTAATTTTGTTGATCTTTTCAAAGAACCAACGTTTAGTTTTGTTGATTTTTTTCTCTCTTCTTTATTAATTAATATAAAGATTATTACTTTCTTTCTCCTGCCATCTTTGGATTTAGTTTTGTTTTTTCTCCTTAGTTGTAAAGTTGTAAGAGTTAGTTTGTTCATTCGAAATCTTGTTTTTGAATGTAAGCATTTATAGTTCATAAATTTCGCAACGTCCCCAAAGTTTTGGTATGTTGTGCTTTCGTTTCTATTCACGTCTGAGTTTTTTCTAATTTCCCTTGTGATTTTCTCCTTAATGCATTGGTTATTTAAGAATGTGTTGTTTAATTTCCACAAATTTGTGATTTTTTTCCAGTTTCCTTCTGTTGGTGATTTCTAACTTCCTCCTTTTATGATCAGAGAGGATAATTTGTATGGTATCTTTGAAAATTTGTTGAAACTTAATTTGTGGCCCAACTTACAGCCTGTCCTGGGGAATGTCCCATGTGCCTTTGAGAAGAAAGTGTGTTTGTCGTTTCTGGGTGGGTGCTCTGTATAGTGTTAGAGCTAGTTAGTTTGTAGTGTTTCCTTACATATCTTCTGTCTGACGGTTGCGCCATTATTCAGATGGGCTGTTGAAGTCTCTAGTTGTTGTAGAACTGTCTGTTTCTTCCTGAAGTTCTGTTGTTTTTGGCTTCACGTGTTTTTCTGGTTGTTAGGTGTGTGTTTGCTAATTGTTACATCTTGCTGTGTTGAATCTCTTATTATTATAAATATCCCTGTCTGTCTCTGATAACCTTTTAAAATTCAAAGTGTTTTGTTTGATTTTAGTATAGCTCTGCTCTCTTCTGGTTACTTTGGCATGGAATATTTTTTTCCTTCCCTTCATTATCAATCTATTTGTGTCTTTGTTTCTAAAATAAGTCTCTTGTATGCAGTGTATAGTTGCAACATGAGTTTCTCTACAGTATTCTACCAGTATCTCTTTTGACTGCAGAGTTTAATACATTTGCATTTACAATAATTACTGATGAGGAGGGACTTCAAAGTGCTACCCTAGTGTCTTCCCATTTCACCTTGCAGGACTCCCTTGAGCATGTCTTGCATGGCAGGGCTAGTGAGCATGAACTCCCTTAGCTTTGGTTTATCTGGGAATGTCTTGATTTCTTCCTCACTTTTGAAGGAATTTTGCCAGGTATGGGATTTTTGGTTGGCGGTTCTTTTTCTTTGAGCACTGTGACTGTATAACTGTCTCCTGGCCTCCAAAGTTTCTAATGAGAAATCTGCAGATTATCTAATTGAGGGTCCCTTGTACGAAACAATTTGCTTCTCTCTTGCTGCTTTCAAGATTTTCTCCTTCTCTTTGTCTTTTGGAAGTTTGATTATAATAGGTCTTGATTTGGATTTCTTTGTGTTTTTACTTGGAGTTCCTTGAGCTTCTTCAATGTTCATGTTCATGTCTGATCAAATTTGAGAAGTTTTCAGCCACTGTTTTCTTCAAATATCCCCTCTGCCAACCCCCTCCCCCCAAGACGCCTCTCACACAGTGCACGTACTGGTGTGCTTACTGGCGTCCTGCTGACCCCTTAGGCTCTGGCCACTTCTCTTCAATCTTTCTTCTTTTTGTTCCTCAGGCTCACTAATTTCCATCCAGTTCACTGATTCTTCTGCTTGTTCAAATCTTCCTTTGAATTCCTGTACTGAATTTTTCATTTCAGTTAAACTTTTCAGCTCCAGAATTTCTTTTTGGTTTCTTTTTAGGTTTTCTATATTTTTATTGGTATTTCCCTTTTGCTCCTATATTATTTTCTGACTTTACCACATCTTCCTTTAGTTCTTTGAGTATCTTTTAGACAGTTGTTTTAAAGTCTTTGTCTAGTAGATTTGACATGAGATTTTTTCAAGGATAATTTCTGTTGATTTTTTTTTCCTTTGAGTGGACCTGTACTCTATTGGTTTTTATATGCCTTGTGATTTTGTTGTTGCTGTTATTGAAAACTGGACGTTTGAATCTAATAATGTGGTAACTCTGGAAATCAGATCTTTCTCTTTTCAAGTATTTGCTGTTGTTTGTTACCTTGTTGTTGTGTTGTTGTAGGCTGCCTCTGTGCCAAGGAACATCCTGACATGTAAACGTAAGATCTTCCAAGGTCTTTTCTAAACCTGTGGCTTTCCCTGAGCATGCACAGTTACTTTCTCATTTTCCCCATATGTGCAGTTGCTTTTGAATGTCCTTATGCTTAATGTCTGGTTCTGAAAAGAGGAAAAAGAGGAAAATGGGGAGGGAGAAAAACAATCCAGCCCTTTAAGTCCCCTGGAAATGACTTCAGCCAGAGACAGAGAAGCTTGCAACAGTAGGGAAGTACAGCGGCCGTGGCTGCCCTTCTTTGTCTGCACCTCTGGGATCAGAAGAAGCAATCAGCAGTTGGAACACAGGTGCCCAGTATTTGGAGGACAGGGGACCTTTTGCCCAGCCTGGCTCCCACAGGCTTTGTACAGGCTGCTCCTGGAACATGTGCCCAGCTGCCCGTTTTAGGGTAGAGGTGGGGGATGGGTAGCTGCTACTGTATTAGGAGCTGAAGTTGACCAAAATAACTAATCTGTTGTCCAAGGCTTCCCCTGGAAATTGCAAGCCTCCATAGAATCTAGAGTTACAAAATAGGTACATCAGACAGGTTCCACCAGTGAGGTTGTGGTCTAGGTAGAGACAGATTCCTGGTGCTTCCTGTTGTACCATCTTCCCAGAATTCTGTCTTGAGTTAACTGTCTTCCATGTAGTGTGAGGGTGGAGTCCAGTTTCATTCTAGGTTGTGTCCAGTTGTCCCATCACCATTTGTTGAAAATACTGTTCTTCCTCATTGAATTCTCATGACACTTTTGTGGAAAATCATCTGACCATATATGTGAGAGTTTATTTCTGGGCTCTTTGTTCTATTTTTTTGGTCTGAGTGTCTGTGTTTTATGCCAGTGCCACACTGTTTTGATTTATTGTAGCTTTATAATAAATTTTGAAACAGAAAGTGTGAGTCCTCCAACTTTGTTCTTTTTCATGGTTGTTTTGGCTATTTTGTATTTCCATGAATTTCAGGATGATCTTGTCAATGTATACAATATGGGCACCTGGAATTTTGATAGCAGCTATGTTGAATCTGTTGATCAATTTGGATAGTATTGATACTTAGCTATTAAATCTTCTGATCCAGAAATACAGATGTTTTTACATTTACCTAGGTCTCCTTTAATTTCTTTCAACAACGTTTTATTATTTTTCAGTATACAAATGTTGCGCTTCTGTTCAATTTATTCCTAAGTATTTTCTTGTGTTTGATGGTATGGTCAGTGGAATTGTTTCCTTAATTTTATTTTCTGATTGCTCTTTGCCAGCATATAGAAAGATAACTGGTTTTTATGGTTTTTATGTGTTGATCTTATAGCCTGCAACTTTGAAACTTACTTACTAGCTAATCGTTTTTCTGTGGACACTTTAGGATTTTCTGTAAATACAAGATCATGTTGTCTGCAGGTAGAGATAATTTTCCTTCTTCCTTTCCAAGACTGGCTGCTTTTGTTTCTTTTTCTTTCCTAACTGCCCTGGCTAGAACTTCCAGTGCAGTGTCAAGTAGATGTGGTGAAAGCAGACATCCTTGTCATGTTCCTGATTTTAGGGAGAAAGCTTTCACTCCTCAACCATTAAGTATTATTTTGGTTATCTTTTATAGGTACTCTTTATCAGATTGAAAGCTTTCCTTCTATTCTTAGTTTGTTGAGTGTTTTTACCGTGAAAGAGTGTTGAGTCTTGTCAAATGCTTTCTCGGTGTCAGCTGAGATGACCTTGTGGCTTTTGTTCTTGGTTCTTTTAATACGGTGTGCTATGTTGTTTGATTCATATGTTGAATCCGCTTTGCATTCCTGGGATAAGTCCCACTAGTCATACTGTATAACTGTTTTTATGCTTCTGGATTTGTTTTGTTAGTGTTTTGTTGATGGTTATTGCATTTATATTCATAAGGAGTGTGCTCTGTCATTTTCCTGTTATGTCTGGTTTTGGTATCAGGTAATAACGGCCTCATGGAATGAATTGGAAAGTGTTGCTTTCTTTTCTATTTTTTGGAAGTTTGAGAAGTGTTGATTTGTCATATACCTTTATTCAAGGAAGAATAACATCTGCTCACTTTGGGTGTCCAGGTGACCAATCAGAGCCTTGAACCTTGTGTTTGGTGGGTATTGACCTTGTGTTATTGATGAGCTTTTTTCAGTTTCATTCCAGTGGGTATGGGAGGTTGTCAGACTCGTTCACTCATCTCAGTAGTTTTCAGCGTAATTCTGGTTCTGCTTGCCGTTCTCTATGGTGTTGTGAGGACCTTTCTTCTGATAACTGTCATCTTAAAGGAATGCTTTACAGCTGGCTTTGGAAAGTGAAAAAATTCAAAGATCGTCTCTAAGAAGTTATTTTGGTAGCTTTTTATTTTATTGATGTTGTGCAGAGCAGACCTGAAAATTCCTTTTTTTCTTGCATTTTCATCATTAGAAGCAGCTGTTATAGCTGTTTTTTTAAGGCCATCCTGTGGCAGTATCTCACAGGTTCTTGTGTCATCCAGAATCATGCAAGTTTATCATTCCAAGCCACAGTGAAAGCAAGAGGCATGGTCCTCCGGCCACCACTGGGCATCTTTCTGAGCCCCCTTGTGATCCAGCCCGCTTCTCGCCCACAGGTACCACGTATACAGACTACTCGGCCGGAATCTCCAGGGATGACCAGCCCCTCCCCGCGCATCCAGATAATCTCCACTGACTCTGCAGTAGCCTCACCTCAGCGCATTCAGGTACCTGACCAGTCCCATGTGGCTCCAGCCACCTGCCCAGAGGCAGCCCTACCTTCCCAGAATCGTTTCCAAAGACAACCTTGCCCAAGGGTTTCACTAAGAAGCTGTGCTTCTTGGGCATCAAGTACAGTACAGTCTCATTTATTAAAAGAGAAAAGAAGAAAAAATTCACATTTACTAAGCTAGCTAACTTTTAATGCAAAATTTTAAATTCTGGTTTCAAACTATTGGAATGAAATACCATTTTATTACTTACATGAGTCATAATTGAGAGGCAGTATGTCCTAATAGTTAAGAGTATGGTTCCCCCAGAAGTCAAATCCAGCACCTCACATTACAGCTCTTTTGACCTTGGAAAATTAACTTTTCAATGCCTCGTTTTTTTCATTTAGTAAGTATACATAATAGCAGTACTTATGTCATAAGGTTATTGTGAGGAATCAATGGGTAATTCTTGTAAAATGCTTAGAATGGTGGATGGCACATAATAATGTTTGGTGTGTACTGAGAGTATATAACTGTTGTTTCTAGTGTTATTGTTATTATTAACTAGCTGATTTTCATTTGCGGGAAGTTTAGTCTTCCCCAGGGCTCTGAGCCTGCCTCTTGTCCATTTATCAAAGAGAAGGTGTATGCATCGAAATCATGGTCCACAAGCAGGAGGAAGGGAAAATGATTGATGACGCACATAGATTAAAGGTTCGTAGTTATCTCAGCACACTGGATTGAAAGGCCAAACCAAAAATCGTGAACTGAAACGAACGGCAAAAAACTCCACTTGTTATATAACATGAGTTTGAGAAAATACCAGGTGGACAGATACTTAGAGTGAGTGAGTGAAAGGACTGCTCTCACTCAGTTTGTTTCAAGCGCGGTGTAAGCGATCAGTATGCTGTAATAACGAAATGGTCTCTATAGTGTTTTCCCACTCTTAAAAGTGATTTCATGGGCTGTTATAAACCAAGCATCGAAGAGTTATAACAAGTAAGATGGAGTGAGTTAAAAATTATATTTCTGCTATGTCTGAGTTACATAATATTTTATCATAAATACAAAGTTCATATACTTATCAGTTTTTTAACTTCACACCAAATAGGAACCACATCTGAGTGGAAATTCAGAAGTAATGGATCCAGGATTAATGAGGTTTTACTGTTCCTCAGAATTAGAAACTTTATATAGATAAATTTTTTTCTCTTTTACTTTGTTCTTATTTGCTGATTATGACTTAAATGAGTTCTTTATAATTTTACGTAGTAAGTGTTAGGATCCCACCTACATAGCTCTCACGACTCTGGGAGAGGAACTGATTTTGTGCATTTAACCATGGCTGTTACATCATGGTTTCACAGCCACCTGAGGACAGATGAGAACATAGAAAGTTCCCCCAGAAGAATCTGTCAGTGGCGAGTGTTTATTTCTAGCGAGAGCACGCATCCCTCTGTATTGGTGTAAGAGGACCTTTCTGTTTCCTAAGGACTATTCAGGCATCCCATTCCGTACAGTGGGGCTGTTCCCGCCTGTGGTGCCACCACTGTCCCGGCTGGAATGCACCAGGACTCCTTGGGCAGAAGTCTCGTAGCATAGATCTTTAGTGTTGAGCTTTCAGTTTCTCTAAGGATGATAACCCTTTAGCATGTGTTTTATGTGGAGTAAATATAGTTGAAAATCTTTTCAATGTGAACTGTCAGTAAAATTGGATATACCTCAGTGCAGCTGAACTGAGTATTTCAGGGTTTGGTTTTTTCAAAAGAAAGTTACAGTTATAGAATGATTTCTTGGTTCTTGATGTTGGTGCTGATGGCTTTGATGAAGCTTTCATTTCTAGCCCTGACTTCAGTGATGGATATCTAATCCCCTGAGGCCTGGGAAGAGACTATGTTTTTCTGATGTTTTAATGAATAACAGTGCTTGGAGCTCAGCAGTGCTTGGCTTCTGTGTTAAGGCTGGGAGGGAAAGATTATTTAGTAAGGATGACAAGCTGTGGATCGTTTCGGAGCTTTTGGCTCTGAATGGAACAGACGTGGGGTCATGTCTTGTTTACACTCAGTGTGACCCTGGGGAAAGTTTCCATAACATCTGCAGCTGTAAAATGACAACAATAATAGTACCTATCTAATAGATTTTTAACAGGATGAATGAGATAATGCTTGTAAACCTATGGGAAGAAGACATCGATAAATATTAGCAGCTGTGTAGCAATTTTTTAATGTTTTATTTTCACATAAGTTCAAAGTTAGTGGAAAATACTACATGGAAATCCTGTGTTCCCTTGACACAGATTCACCATTTGTTTGCTGTAACATTCTGAATGTGTGTATGCGTCTTGTTTCTGAATCATTTGAGAATAAAGTGGAGACATTATGCCTCTTTGCCCTGGATATATTTCCTAAGAACAAAGGACATTCTCCTACATCATCACAAAGCAGTTACCAAAATCAGGAAGTTCCATATTGAAACATGCCATTATCTAGTCCATAGTACGTATTCTAAAATTTCATCAGATTCCCCAGTTAAGTCCTCTATAGCTATTTTCTTCGCATTCCAGGATTTATTTTATTGTTTTTGATAATGATAACAAAAATTAAGGCGCTAGTCAACACAAGACCAACATACCTAGCCATGCAGACCGCAGAGGGCTGCTCTGATGCGTAGACTCTTCCATCCACGGCGTGGGGTCCTAGTGGCTGCAGAAGGGCTTTAGGGCCAACTGGGAAGGGTGGCGGTCCTCAGAGCGGGGGAGGTAACCTTGTGAGTGGGGCTGAGAGGTTTTGTTTTTCTGGGATAAGAGGTCCAGCACACAAACTGTCAGGAGATGGAGGCATAAGGAGAGCAGTAGGAGAGCACCCACTTGTCTGAGGGGGAGGTGGGACTGGAGCCATCCCGTCACAAAGTCTGGCTTCTCAGGAAATTTCATGGGTTTTCATCAGGTGCAGTGTTTCTGGGCCAGTGGTTTTCAAATTGTGTTCTTAACTGCTTCCCAGATTACACAAGCATTGTGTTCAAATTTCATTTTTTAATCCAGCTTTCAAGGTGATTAAAAGAAAAACACACTTAAACATGTCATATACCAAGTTTGACATGCTAGAGGTCACGGTGCACTCACTTGTGCCGCTGTGTCCATTTTGTTTGGGCCAAATCTTGGCTTAAAGCTTCTTTTGCCACCTTTGCGGATTTTAAGATTCTCCATACTCCCCATTTCATGCCATATCTGCTGGTGGTGAATTTCTAAAGTTTTTCTCTAAGAAAGTCTTTATTTCACCTTAACTTTTGTTTTTAATGATTTTCATCAAAATACCTAAGATAAAGTGAACAGTTTGGTGGCATTTAGTACATTTGTAACGTTACGCAACCACCGCCTCTGTCTAAAGTGTTTCCATCACTCCGAAGTGAAACCCCATGCCTCTTGTACAGTGGCCCCCGTTCCTCCCTCCCTCCAGCCCGAGTCGTTGCCTGAATTCTGTCTCTGCAGGGTTATCAGTTCTGGATATTTCATGTAAGTGGAGTCATACAATATGTGACCTTCTGTGGCTGCATGTTCGTTTATCCATGTTGTAGCGTATGTCAGTGCTCCATTCCTTTTCATGGCTAGTGAATATTCCATTGTATGTATATACTGTAATTTGTTTATCCACTGCTGGACTCTTCATCACTTTTGAAGGCTACTTTTGCCAAATATAGAACTCTAGTTTGGTGGTTTATTTTAACACATTTGAAATATTTTGTACTACTAATTTCTGTCTTATGTGGTTTCTAAAAAGAAGTCTGCTTTAAATCTTTAATTTGTTTCTGTATAGTTGAGGTAGGTTCCCCCTTCTTTCCTCAGCTTCTTTCAAGATTATCTCTTTGGTTCTCTGCAGTGTGACTAGGTTCAGGAAGTATGAAAACTGGGGAGACCGCCTGTGTCAGCTAGTTGACTGGGGGAGGTAGAGGACCCCCATTGATGTCTTTGTGACAGGAGGGTAGTTAGCAGATGGGAACAAGGTGCCCACCAAGTTAGGTTGATCTAATGATTATGAAGATTTATGTACATATGGAAAGGACAGAAGAAAAAAATTCTAAAAGGAAAGGGAGAGTTAAGCTGATCTTTAATTTGTCTTTGGCCTTTATAAATAGGTTATGCCTAGGTGTAGTTTTTCAGCATTTTTTCTGCTTTATGTTTTCTGAGCTTTGTGGATCTGTGGTTTGATGTTTGTTATTAATTTTGGAAAGCTCTCAGCCATTGTTACTTTAAATATTTTTTCTTCATTCTCCTTCTGGTATTCCAATTATGCATATGTTATCTCTCTCTTTTTTTTTAAATTTACTTTTTGGGAGGAGGAGGTAATTAGGTTTATTTATTAGTTCATGTTTTTTAGAGGGGATAATGGACGCGAACCCAGGACCTTGTGCATGCTAATAAGCATGCGCTCTGCTGCTCTACCGCTTGAGCTATACCCTCCCCCTTTCATACGTTATCACTTGAGGTTGTCCCATAATTCTTGGATATTCTGTTCTTGGCTTTGCTTTTTGTTTGTTTTTTTCATTCTTTTTCCCCTTTGCATTTCAGTTAGGGAAGTTTCTATTGACCAGTTTTTCCCTTACTTGTGTCCAGTGTACTGATGAGCCCATCAAGGCATTCTTCATTTCTGTCACAGTGTTTTTGATTTCTAGAACTTTCTACTTTCTGCGAATTTCCATCTGGCATCCATTTCTCATCTGTTCTTGCATGTTGTCTGTTTTTCCTTCAGAGACCTTAACATACTAATGATGGGTTATTTTAAATTCCATATCTGATCATTCAGCAGTTGTGTCGTATTTGAGTCTGGTTCTGATGCCTGTTTTGTCTTTCCAGATTGTGTTTTTCTTGTGTTTTTGGAATGCCTGTAGTTTTTTTTTTTTGCTGAAGGTCAAACATCATTGGCTGTATTGTATTAGGTAAAAGGAACTGAGGTGAATAAGCCTCCCGCATGACTGTGTTAATCTGGCTGGGAGCTTAGCTGTATGGAATGTTTGCTCTA